AAACGTTATTCTGAGTGGCTCGTTTTCAACTCAAATAATTTGTAGCTACCGAACCAAAAGCTTCAGACCATATGTTTCATACTTTGTTGAAATCTGCTCATCATGGAGCATCTGATAATGCGAAACAATATAGGGTGATCCATTAAAAAAAATTGGTGATATGCTCTGTGGGTGCGAAATGGGAAGTAACATAAAATGTGAATATGTCAAATGTGCCCCCCGTGTATACTATTGTTGACTTGTTTCTTTATTTTTCCTGAAAATCATTGTAGCAAAAGTTATTCAGGGTGATGGCTCGTTTTAAATGAAATGCACTTTATGCATATTATATGTTGTCATAAAGTTGAGGTTATGTTAATCATATTCAACTTCAAAGATGATTTCAATAATAGATATTGAAAAACTCACCACGTGTACTTTTTACTCAAGACAGGTATGCCTATTATCGAATGTGCCCTACCTGAAAAAAAAAGGTAAAAATAAGTATATAGTGCACTCGTTAAACCAGAATTAATGGCGTTTGGTTGTAACACGCAACAAAGTTTCTCTATCAGGAATAGTTAAACAGAAATTTCACTTTGCCTTATTTTCGAAACAAATTATTACTCAGGTAGTTCTTATGTTGTTGAAAATGAGAGTTAAATAATTAACGTGGCATAACAAGGCGTATAATAAACAAGATCATTATGAATTAAATTTTGTCAGTATACCAGCTGTTTTCTTGCAATGAAACTTCCTCAAGTGCAATTTGAAATAAATTAGGATTTCTCATTTTGTTTCACTTATACATCTCAATTATTCAATCCAGCAGAAACTTGGTGTACAATTAGCATGTCGAAAACCGTCAATGCATATGTTATATACAGAATAGTATATTTATTAGTTACGATTTCTAAAATATTAACGCATATCGCACAAATCCACTTGAGATTAATATCAGTTAGAATTCTGAGAAATTGATAATGATTCATCTCAAGTAACATTCAGTTTATCAATTTTTAAATTTCATTATCAATAAGTCATTGCAGAATATTTCGCAAGTAGGGGTTAATACAAAGATTTAAGAGATTTATGATGTGTTTAATAACTTCGAGAAAAAACATTTCCTTTCGATTTTTTATTAGGGAGAACTGACAAAAAACAACTACAATGGGGCCTTCACCAATTGTCCTATAATAATTCAGTCGAGTTTTTTAACCTACCCTCACACAGTTGAAATTGTCTGCTGCCAGTAATTGGCATTTAACATTTCTCTGCCGAGATATGCAGAAGTGGTTGTGAAAACTATCTACCTTGAGCATTCGAAAAATAAACACGAAGGTGAAAGATCAGGTGATATAGCTGGCTACCTCTTTAAACCTTTTTGCCAATCCAACTCCAGGGAAAAAGTTAGCTTAAAAACGAATTCACACGAACAGATGTTTACAGTTACAATTGTTAACGATAACTTCAACGTTTGAGAAGAATTTATAGAAAATTATGTATGCAAAACTAGAAATATGGGGAGCTGACATCTCCCCATACTGATATCAGCTATTATCGAAATAACGAATGTGCTGAAATTGTTGCAAGATATTTTGAACACGAGTAATTCGGACCAAAACAAGAGACAGCAATGCGTTAGAAAATTATTGGATACATTTATAACCTTCATTTCTATTCACAGCAGAAACCATGAAGTATTTCTTTGTGTCAAAAATGAAGCAGTTGAAGTTGCAATTTTAGGTTATTTACAAATGGATAACCGACAATCTATCAGACTGGTAGCTATAAAATCTGGTGTACCAGTTACTAGTGATCTTCGAATTTTGAGTACTTTCCTACAGAATTCTATCCTTTCAAAATAAGACCAGTTTACGAATTAAACGAGGATAATCTTAATCCTATCTAATTTTTTTTTAGCGGTTTGATTGCGAATTTGGCCAATTTTGGATAGAAAATCGTCATTCTCTATATTTCAAAGCAGTCTCATATTTTGTGTTTTAACAGTTTTCAATTTGGGCATGAGTGTCATGGAAACAAATGAACTATTTGTACCCTAAATGTCAGTTTGAAAGTAAATGCATCAACAGCAATGACGAAATGCAAACTGAACGTCTTAATTTACGAGAAAAAATTGAAATGAAAAGGTTATTTGGTGATGGTGCTCAAGGTAACAGACAAGCTGCTCAAGATTAACAAAAGACATCCGCAACAAAATTGTATTTGACACAGAACGGCACCCTCCGTGAATAAACTTTTTACTCCAATCGAAGTGTATTAAAGAATCAAAATTTTATTTTTATTCGTGATGAATATTATTTTTTTCATTCTTATTCTCACATTATAACGAATTTATTACTTTTGTAGCTTCTTATTCAGAACCATTATTTGAAAATCACACTTGAATATGGAAATTACAAAAAAATTCAAATTTCGAATTTTGGGTTGAAATTCGGTATGTAGGCTCATAATCGATTTCTGAGCAACTTCTTCAGACAACTTATTTCGGTATTATCAACGCGAAGCAAAATATCGAGAATCTGCCTTTCCGCCAGAACACAGTAGGCTGGGTTCAAAGCTGTCACTCGGGCTAAGTATTGCGAAAAGTGCGGCCCCTGAAGGTCAACGTCTGAACCCAAAGTCAAATACCTGCTTTTAAAAATGACTAAAAAACAGGGGTGTCTTCATCTTAAGTGTATCACACTGTATATATCCCTTTAAAAACTCAACTTTAAACTGATAAACTTTAAATAAACTGATTAATCACCTCAACAATAATGGACTCTACACAATTGCATAGGCAGATGACATAGTTATCTTACAGACCGGCACATTTGTGAACACACTGTGCGATAGAGCGTAGAATGGGCTCAAATTGATAGAAACATGGTGTAAGAAACACTCACTGTCGATCAATCCCAAGAAGACCTAAATGGTCCTTTTCACCAGGAAAAGAAGCAAACTAAACTTCTCTGAAGAGGTGAAATACTTTGGTACTATCCTCGACAGGAAGCTAACATGGAACTCTCACTTCTACAGACTGGACAAAAAGAGCATATGTGGCTTATGAACAATATCGGAGGACAGAGTGACGCGCATGGGGTCTTTCACCTTGTGTGGTCACCTGGATCTACACTGCAATAATATCAAATACAGCGATTGGCTTGTTTGAACATAACAGGAGCCATGAGAACAACACGAACAGCGGCAATGGAATTAATTACTGGTCTGACCCCTCTGGATCTGTACGTTGAGGAGGTTGCGTTAATGACCATGTTACGATTGCGCACGGCTGATGTAAACCTCGAAGTAGGAGTGGGTCAATTGAGGCTGATCCTATGGCCAGAAGCGCTTACTGCGCGACCTCTGCTGCAGGCAACCAGTGATGCAATTGAACCCAGGTTCGTGTTTAATAAACCCTACAAAATACAAATGAAACAACACAGAGTCAGATGCTACAAATGCAATACGTATATATACAGACGGCTCAAAAACCAAAGACGGCTCATGATGTGGAGTGTATTCTAGATCACTAAGCCTAAGGATTAACCAACGTGGTTCAAACAGAACTGACTGGTATCTCAATCGCCACAAAATAGATAACCATGAAAGGAATTTCTGGCAAAAACATAACAATCTGCACTGATAGCAGACAAGCCCTATTAGCCTTGAACAGACAACGTGTTACCTCAGGGCTAATACTAGAGTGCCACCAAGATTTAGCCAAAGCCTCGGTAGGTAATAACATTATCCTGAGGTGGGTTAAAGGGCACACCAGGAGTAAAGGTAATCGCATTGCCGACTCTTTAGCCAAGGAAGCAGCTGGACTAAGAATTTTGGGACCCATTGGCACCTACGGCCTGATGACTTCGACAATTGCGGGACTAGCCAAACGTCACACCCATGCTCAATCCCTAAAGAGATGGGATGGAATCAAAGGATGCAATCTTGCCAGGATCACCCTGGGCAGCTGGCGATGACCAGGAAAAATCTACGCTGAACGGTAAGATTTCTGACTGGCCACTGTCAACTAAGAAAACACCTCCATAATTTGGGGCTAGTGGACACACCTCTATGCAGGATGTGTGAACAGAAAGATGAATCTGCCTGGCATGTCCTATGCAAGTGTCTGGAGTTATCGTCAATAAGAGAGTGTGTGTTCTTGGCCTTGGCCTACATCTGCCGATATAAAGGAGATGTCTCCCAGTGACCTGTCCACCTTCCTGAAAAGGACAGGATGGACGATGACCTAGAAGGACAACTTCTCGGGAGGATGTACAATGGGTCACATGAGGCCTAAGTGCTGTTGGCCTACACTCATCCTCCCTACTCTACAGATACAGATACCCATGAATAGTTTATTGTAAATCGCTGAAAACTATTCATTTTTATATTTTCATGTAACACTTTGTGAGATTTTCAACGAACAGTTCACAAAACCGCAACAGACGTTTCACTATACAGTAACATCCGCAAGCGTGTTCATATTAACTGAGTTCTACCTGAAAAGTGATTTATATAATTCAACAACTTGTATCAAATTACCTGCTACCTACTCAATGACTGGTTTTGGGCAAAAAAATTGAAAATTTAAACGTTTAGAAAGATATTTAACACATTTTCTGAGTTTACGTGTCAAGTAGTTACCAATTTCCACGCTAGAAAAAAATATTTAACAAAGGAAACTATTCAATTTTATTGAGTCATTCCGTAAATTCTCAGACTTTTCAAATCTATTGATTTCCAAGCATTCCTGAAGATTAAGTTTTGAACTGTGCTCCTGTGTTCTTTCATACCTTGGGAAAAGGTTCTCCCGTTTGGCCAATATAAAGTTTTGGGCAAGAACCACAAGTCAACTTATATACTCCTGATCTATCTGATACTAGAGTTTTGTCTTTTTCGTTTTTGATAAATCTTCCAAAATTATTATTTATCCAAAGCATTTTATAAACGAGTGATATTACTGGTGCGTTCAAGTGTCGACCAATTATATGAAACACATTTCTATATTTTTCAAGAGGATCCAGACTTATCATCCTTCGGAGGAACACCTTATAGAACGTGCGGATCCGCTTACATCATCCAGAAAGAACGACTTGCCGATCCAAAGATGAAGCCCGAAGACGCCGAACAGAAAATCCTCGATAATCTGGAGAAACATCCGGATCTGAAGAACGTCGAGGACACGATGCCACCCTTCGAAAGTGTCGAGAAAAGAATGTTGGATTTAGACGAGAGAAAATTACACCCGTTGTACAAAAAGTACGTTTTGGTTTATACGTTTTACAGTACGGTCAATGGATTTTTCGATACGCATTATCAATTTGTTCATCCGAAATGACTGGTGAAATTATTATTATTTTTTTTGAATGAATTCCAAAAGTGTGGTTATTTCTCAAAATTTCGAAAAACGTAATTGGAAAAAGTCGTTTTAAATATAATTCAGCTCACTTGCAAAATTTCAGCTGCATAAGATGATTTTGTTTTTTCCATTTTTTTTGTGAATAACACCATTGTTGCAAATTAGGACTCGGCGCAATCTACAAAAAACTTTATTTTTGACAATGCTTTATTACAAACACGTTTTCTTTGAAGTAGCGCCGTATTATATATATGTTTTTCTACATAATCAAAATAGGGCTATGAAAAATTTGTCACAGGTGACTGTACAAGGTAAATTCATGAAATATCTATTTTTGAGAAGGTAGTTTGTGTCTAAAATTAATACATATCAATATCAAGAAAATAGTTTACCCGAGTAGTAAAAAAAGTTTGTTATTGATTAAAAAAAAGTACACATAATTTCAAAAAAAGAAAATTTAAGTCCGTTTCATTTGTATACATAACATGATTTTTTTATTAGAAAATGCAACTTTCTTCAGTTGAACTATATTTTTAATATCAATTTATTTTAAATTCAGACATAAACTAACTTTATAGAAGTAGATATTTCATCATATATATCTACCAATAGGTGGTTCCACTTATGTGCCGCTTGTGTTTACGCAATGATTTTTATGAAGTACTCGTTTTGATTTTTCTCAATTTGCCTTCAATCGAACACAGACTTTCCGGTACTATTACGCTCAGAAGGTTAAAAAAACTGTCCACCGGTGGCTCTTAAATTGAAATTAAATTGTGAATGATCCGAATAGTACTCATCTATTTATCTTTTCATTTTCATGGAATTATTGTATACAGGGTGTTCCATCTCAGACGAGCCACCCCGTATATTTCTTATCCCATAGTGAGTGGAAAAATTTTTCGAAACACGTCAAATGATTTTGTTTGGGGACATCTTTTGACGTATATTTTAGGCTTGAACGAGCAACCCCTTAATAGGGGGCTCTTCAACCCCTCAAACTTGAATAGGGGAGAGAGGTTGAGTGATACTTTATTTGAAAGGTCTTGGAAGCCTCTTATCAACGCTGTATGAAAAAAGAAAATTTGATGAATCGTTTTCGCCAAAAATCAATTTTGCAGCTCGAATGAGCCACCTTGAATAATTTGGTTATTTTTACATGTACAAGCCCATTTTTATTAAGCCCTTTTTACAAACTCAAACAATCGTCAAAAAATTACATTCTTGAAAAATTTAATTGTGTTATCATCATGCTTACAATAAAAAAAATCAAATCTGGGTGTTTAAGTCCAATGTTCAAATTGTCTTTCATTGACTTCCATACAATAATACTTTCTCTCAAACTAATAAATAAAAAAAACAGCGAAACATTTCCTTATCTTGCCTTAATTTTTTTGTGCTTAGAAGGTGATTATCTGGTTCTAACGTTCCTTCGATCATTTCATAATTGAAATCAATCTGTTGAGTTACTACTCTGCTGATTTGTTTAAAATTTCAAAAAATATGGTGTACACATTGCAAGAACGTGTTGAGCTGGTTAGCTTTATTACCAAAAACAAAATTGTGCCCGAGCGGCTGCAAGGATATTTAACCATAAGTACGTACTGGAATTGATTTCAAAATTTGTGGAGACGGGTTCAGTAATGGATAAAAAAAAGGGCACCCATTGGAATTGTGAATGGTGAAGGAGCAGCTCTGGCGGTATTGGTACATGTCCAACTTATGTCAAACACTGTACGACAACTTTCTGCAGTTTCCGGTATTAGTCAATCTAATGTTTTCAGAATTTTACATAGTCACAAGTTCCATCCGTAGAAAATTAAATGAATTCATGAATTAAATGATGATGATTGGGATCGAAGGCAAGATTTTTACGAAATTATGGCCGAGCGTATCAACAATAACCCAAATTTCATGTACAACGTTTGCTTTTCTGAAGAATGCAATTTTTTACTTAATGGAGAGGTTAACCGGCATAACTGTAGAATTTGGAGCGATACAAATCCTCATGTATTTCGAGAAGCTCACACTCAACATCCAGAAAAGTTAAACGTTTAGGTAGGTATTTTGGAATACCACCTAATTTATTCCTGGTAATTTAACTGGCGAACGTTATCTTGAAATGCGGGAAAATGCGATTGATCCGTTCATAACTGAACAATTAGAAAACGATTCTCTACTACTTGAACAACAACTGCATTTTCAACAAGACGGAGCTCCTCCGCACTACGCCGCACCAGTTCGCCAATACCTCAATTTGCAGTACCGCGGTCGTTGGATTGGAAGAAGAGGTCCAATGGAGTGGCCTGTCTGATCTCCTGACCTGAACCCTCTGGACTTCTTCTTGTGGGGATATCTTAAGTCCAAGATTTTTGTGACTCACCCTGAAAATTTGGACGAACTACGCCAAAGAATTGTGAATGAGTGTCGTCAAATAACTCCAATTATGCTGAACTATGTCAGAGACGGTTTTCAGTCAAGATTATATTATTGTGTGAAAGTCAATGAAGGACAATTTGAACATTTGATTTAAACACGCAGATTTGATTTTTTTGATTGTAAGCATGATGATAAAACAATTCAATTTTTTCAAGAATGTGATTTTTTGAAGATTGTTTAAGTTTGTAAAAAGGACTTAATAAAACAGGAGTTTGTACATGTAAAAATAACCAAATTATTCAAGGTGGCTCATAAGAGCTGCAAAATTGATTTTTGGCGAAAACGGTTTATCAAATTTACTTGATTTGAAAGGGGTATATTCTTAGGAGTGATTAATTTTTTGGGAAAGAAAGTTTTTGGCTTTCTACTACTCCATCTGATACAAAAAAATGGATGAGAGAATGTTCCAAAGAAAGGAAGGATTAATCAATTTGAAAATAAGTAACTCTATACATGGATGTGTAGATCATGCAAAGAAGTAACTGGGAAAAAAATAAATACCCTAGAATAAACCCTAGCATATTATGTCAATATCTTCAACTTCTACAAAATGGCGGAACTTTTAATAATTGCTTGAATACATTAACATTTAACTATATAATATGAGGTAATAAGCTTGAGGTCAATTCAGAAGATGCTCGAAATGGTTCACGCCGAACATTTTCGAACACAGTAACGTCAATATCTCTACAAATATTTATTATTCTCTGCCGTATATCCAATATTCAGTTTCGTACACCTTTTGCTTCAAATAGTCCCATAGAAAAAGTCTAAAGGTGTCAAATCTGGCGAGCGGGCTGACCATTCTGTAGGACCTCGACAGCCAATCCAACGACCGGAAAAAGTACAATCCAAATAGTTTCTTACTTGTCTGGAGTAATGCGGCGGTACTCAATCTTGTTGGAATACAATATCCATATCGAATTCATTAGGATTCGCTTCGACGATTTCAGTGATGAGAGGGTCAACAGTAGTTTCCAGCATATTCAAATACAGTTTCCCTGTTGAATTTTGATCAATAAATAGAGGTCCTACAATATGGTTTCCCAATATTCCTGCCCAAACGTTCATTTTTTCTAGATATTGGGTATGTGTTTCCCGAAAAACGTGAGGATTGGTGTCACTCCAATAACGGCAATTTTGCCTGTGAACGTTGCCGTTTAAAAAAATTTACATTTGTCACTAAAACAAATATAGTGGAGATAGGTAGGATACCTTGCAATGGTTTTCGTCATGATTTCACAGAATTCTGTTCTTCGATCAGGGTCATTTTCAGTTAATTTGTGTACCATTTTAATTTTGTATAGATGATACCTATTCCTTTTCAAAAGTCTCCATACAGTAGAAGGAGACACCTCAGAAATATTCGCGACGGAATAAGTAGACTGTTCAGGATTTACTACCATCTCACCAATTATTTGCAGTTGCTGTTCTTCCGGAATGGACGGATGACCTGGGGGCTTTTTGTTATGTACACTACCGGTTGTTGTGTACCGGAAGTTCCTTCAAATATTTTCTACAGATAGGACGATTCGGAAAACGTTCACTGAAAATACTTTCGGTCTCGTGAAAGTTACGCTTCGCACCGTGAATAAAAACCGCTTCAATTTTTTCCTCCAATGGACGAGAATTGACAATTTTAGAGATTCTTGACGTGGTACCTTTCTACTAGTAAAACCGAAAACTAAATGAGAATATTCTAACTGAACAATGATGTTTTTTGTGGTACTAACATTTTTTGACGTTTTTATAAACAAAAAATAACTTAACAAACCTTGTCGAGTTGTTACAATTGCCATATGGCAGATAGAAAAGAATATTTCTAGAAATATCGATAGGTTTTAATGTGTTCGTTATCAGGAAATTATTAAATGTTCCGCCATTTTCTAGTAGATGAAGATATTGACTTCATATTCTAGGGTTGTGAAGTATTCATCAGTAGCTTCAAAATGATGTGTCACACGACTTCCCTTTCCATTTAATTTTTTTTCCCAGATGGCGCCCAATCGCCATCTTGAAAGTTTCATATGTCAATTTCACTTTAAATTAAGTTTCATGCATTAATTTCATTATCCAAATTTCAATTTGTTTTTTAGTTAACCCGTTCAAAAAATAAAAGGGGGGGCATTAATACAATAACATATTGGTTTTGACATGCAATATTTCACCATTGCAAATTTTATTTTTTCAACTTTACCAAGTTTCTTTCAATTTATTAAATTTTAATTAATTAATGAGAATGAACAGAAAGCTTACATGAAACCACGTTCCCCAGTCACTCAAGTATAAATAATTTTTTCACAGATATATTTTCCTTCCGAAAAAACCTTCCAAACTTCCAGTTCCCAAATTCACGTACAAATCTAGAAGCGGTCCAGTAAGCAGCGATGAAATCCCGTTGAAGCTGAAATGTAAAGAATATATGGAGAAAAAAAATATATTCTATGATTTCAAGCGAGTAGATCCACCCAGGCAGCTGCTGGCGAGAATGTTGGAAATGCAGCTCAACGAAAAACCGACGATGGAAAAGAAAAGCGGACCGAAAAATGTTAACGAGTTGAAAGTCGATGAAGTATTGAAAGTGTAACTTGAATTTTGATTAATATTTTATTTCGTTTTTCATAAATACAATTTTTAGATAAAATAATGAAGCAGTTGTTATGACTGATTTTGTTGATTCAGATGATTTTATTATTTATTATTTCACAAAGAATTTGTTTTATGAGTTTCACTAGTTCGGACTTCCATTGTCTACTATATAAAATGATTTGAAATCCCTGAAACAAGTAAAAAAGAGTAATTAAAAAAGAATAGTTGAAAATAACAATTATATTGAGCAACAATAAACCTGAAATGAAATGATAGTGAAATAACCTACAAGTAAAAATATAATAATTGAATAAATAAAAATTAAAGGAATGAAAAAAGAAAATAATAAAAAATAAAAAATTTGCTTAATATAATTGTTATTTTCAACTATTCTTTTTTAATTACTCTTTTTTACTTGTTTCAGGGATTTCAAATCATTTTATATAGTAGACAATGGAAGTTCGAACTAGTGAAACTCATCACGAAACATTGTCAATCACCTTCAAACAAAATTTGTTTTATGATCAATAATTCAAACTGTCGATTAGTCACAATAGACAGTTCGAACCGTCGAATATATTCTATAAGCAGTTAAGGCTACTCGACAGTAAGACTAATCGACAGATAAAACTGAAGACATCAACTTGGTTGGTGAAACGCATGTTGAGTAGAGGATTGCAGTTCTGGTTTTTGGGAAAACTGCTTGTTTCGAATAATTTCTACGCTATAAGTTCTAGTTTTACCTTTTATTATTCATCCATATTAGATTTCACTTGGAAAAACTGGCGATACGTCAATTTCTGCAAATTTTCAGAATTTTCAAAGCAGACAGAAGTCAATAGACATATTACCTCTACATGCATATTTTTTAGCTTCAAATACTGCACATGAATGCACTTCCAAGCATAAGTTCATGGCTTTTGAGAAACTCTTGCATATAAAGATATTAAGTAAAAAGAAATAATATTTTTGAAAAAAGCTTTTTGACTTTCACTTCTCTATCTTCATATAAAAAATTGTTGAAAAGTTCCAAAGAAAGGAAGAAACCAATTAAGTTCAAAATATACTCTATATACCATGTATAGAATTATACGAAAGAAAAAGTACTTTGGAAAGACGATCACAAAAGCGGTTGATATCATCATTAATAATAATGATAATGATCATAATGCATATCTAATGAAAATATAAAATACAACGACATCTTACCTAGTTATATCACATGATTAGACCCGTATTATTGTGTGCCAAACACTGAAATGTCCAATAGTCCTCGTTTACATAATAGCTTTATAAATATTGTCATGTTCATGTTCTATTTTGCTAAGCGATTTTTGTTTCTTGTGCTGTATGATTCGAATTTTCAAACAAAATATTTGACTGATATCCATAAGACCACTGTTATTTTATTGTACTTTGTATTTATCCCATTTCAGGTATCTGTCAATTTCTATTCCGAAATCTCGTATGTGCTTCACATCAGACATTTCATCAAACCATTGGGAACAAATTGTCCGAACATTTCGTTCAGGCCAATCTCAATTTACCTATACTGTAGGTTAATAGACTGACATCTATCAGAAAACAACTACTCTCCTGGCCAATACCACGAAGGGCGTTGGATTATATCCGACAGGTGTCAGTGCACGATTCTTCACTGATTCATTCCTGCATATGCACATGTTATTAGCCAGAGGAGTAGTTATTTTCTGATAGGTGTCACTCCATTAACCTACAGTGTAGGTGAGTTGAGACTGGCCTAAATGAATTGTTCTTGTAAATGATTTGATTTATAGCCAGTCGTCAAATATGCCCACTTACTTTATGTACAGTTTTCTTTCCTCATACGAGGAATTTGGGACACTTCGAATATGCGGTTGGTTACCTCGTTCATAGGCAGATGGGGCGATGACAAACATGTTGTTTGTCGTTCGTTTCAGCCTAGTTCAAGGAATAATACTCTGAAAGAATTCGATTTTCAAATATGGGAAATCGTTGACGTTATGTTGATGATACACACTACCTTGCACTGACAAGTGGCCAAACACCCCGAAACTGGTCTGGAAGTGTGTTCCAATAATTGAAATTCAATTCTGGCAGTTGTATCGCTAATAGCATATGCAGGAATAACTTCAGTGAAGAATCCAGCACTGACACTTGTCGGATATAATCCAACGCCCTTCGTGGTATTAGTCAGGGGAGTAGTTGTTTTCTGATAAGTGTCAGTACATTAACCTACTGTGTAGGAAGTTGAGACTGGCCTGAACGAATTGTTCTTGTAGATAATTTGATTTATAGCCAGTCTTCAAGTATGCCCACTCACTTTATGTACAGTTTGAGAACACATGGCATCTTTTAAATGAAACCTCGTCCATTTCTTCAATGTTTGATTTTGATAAATTTTATTTAAAAAAATGAATAGAATATACTTTGAAGGTCAAAAACATTTTCGAGTTGTGAACTTGAAACGGTATATAATCATGACCAGACAATATTAACTCAAAATTATTCCAGTAAAGTAATTATTTCGGGTTGCTTGGCTAAAATATGAATATAATTATAATTGTAAAACGTAGAAAATGGAATATTCCTACAGTAAAATATAATTTTTAATAATAAAATACCATTTACAGATCGATATTCAGTTAGAAGCAGTAAAATTTACAGTTTTGGTAACCTTTTGTTGATGAACCATCATATTTTTAAATATCCATGTACAATTTAAATATTTCAACATGAAGACACATTTTAAGCTAATACATGAAATCGAGCGTGGAATTATACAGTGCATTTCTTTATTGTCCCCTCCTTTTATTTTTTTAATCCTAATGAATTCGATATGGATATTGTATTCCAACAAGATGGAGCACCACCACATCACTCCAGACAAGTGAGAAATTATTTGGATACTACTTTTCCCGGTCGTTAGATTGGCCGTCGAGGTCCTACAGAATGGTCAGCCCGCTCGCCAGATTTGACACCTTTAGACTTTTTCTATGGGGCTATTTGAAGCAAAAGGTGTGCGAAACTGAACCTGCTTCAATATTGGATATACGGCAGAGAATAATAAATATTTGTAGAGATATTGACGTTACTGTGTTCGAAAATGAAATATCGGATAGGCTGTTTATATGTCAAGAAGTTCAAGGCAACCATTTCGAGCATCTTCTGAACTGACCTCAAGCTTATTACCTCATATTATGTAGTTAAATGTCAATGTATTCAGACAATTATTAAAAGTTTCGCCATTTTGTAGAAGTTCAAGATATATACATTATATTCTAGGGTTGAGAAGCATTTGTCAGGAGCTTCAAAAAGATGTGTCTATTTGATTTTTTTCCCAGATGGCGCCAAGTCGCCATCTTGAAATGTTCATCTGTTAATTTCACTTCAAAATAAAGTATGAAAGTATTCATGCATTAATTTCGTTCTCCCTTATTTCATTTTTTTGTGTTGATCCGTTCAAAAAATAAAAGGATGAGGGGGTGTGAAAGAAATGCACTTTATTTTCAGTTCTCATTTTTGTCCAGTAGGAACGATGAATGAATGCATATTACCTCATCAATTTGTGTATCCGATATGAGTTGACAAACTGAAACTACGCGTAATGAAAACAAAACAGTATGGTTACTGTTCCGAACAAAGCTTTCAATGAATATATGCTTTTATTTTTGAAATTTGCTAATAGCGAATACCTACCCCATGTTACGATTTTATGAAATTCGTTAGCACTTTGTAAATTATTCTGTCAATGAGGTTTTTTCAAGTTGTACAACCTCCAAAAGTTTAAGAAGAAGTTTAACATGTTTGTCTTTCCTCCACATTTTATTTTTTAATTCTGGCCGTTGTACGTTGTACAATATGGAAAGAAAATCTCACTGATCATATTAGAGGATTTTGATATAGACACATTCCACGTACTTCTTGCCTGATTGATTAAAATAAGAATGGATCGAAACGATAAGTTTTTGAAAATGGTACATAAAGTAGGACTCTCAGAAATATCGAATTCAATTTAATTTATCAATATTATTAATAAGTAAAGTTACGAGTCGCTCATCCTATAAATAAATCGAACATATTTTGAAAGCTAATTAAAAGTTACCTCTACAAAGTTTTCAATATTTTTGCGAACAAAGAAGATACAGACAAAAATAGTTAAACGTTTTTGGTATAACTCTCAATACTATTTGAAAATATGCAACTTTGCGACAATAAAATGAAACCAAAAGTTTCATCCGGAAGTGTTTTTATCTGGAGTTAATTCTTGTCATGAATTATAACCAACAAGAAGGTGAAACAAGCGGAGGAAACGTATAATCTTGGATCTTGATTGGCGTACACATCGCTCAATCGTGTCTCCTTCCTATCATTGTTCTTCTGGTCTTGTTCTCGAACAAAATCCGGAAGAAGGTGCAAACAAACCATCGACTGGATCTTACGTAAGGTAGCTCGCAGATTTTCATCACGACGCAAACATGATGGCTCGTAAATCTGCGGCAGGGTTATGTAGCAGAAGTAATTAATTTAAAGTAACCGCAGTTGTCTTATTCGTATTGTGGCATTACCAGGAAATTAGCTGTTTTATTTTTGATGTGTATCCTGCATGATTTGTTAGAGAAATTTGTGTTACGACTTTGAACCCAAAAAAACATTGTAGCTGTTACGCTGGCATTGATTTCAAAATTTTTGTCACGTTTTTGAGGTTAGACTATGTTCATTATATTTTTGAAACATAAGAGGTATATTCAGAAAATAACGGAAATCTTTCGTTTTTGAAAAACATATTTATTTATTCGTCTACATTACTGTTGTCATAAAATAGTCCCAATTAGTTATTATGCACTTGGGCCTGCGCTTCTTTCAATCCTCCGAACACTTCTTTCTCAAACTCGATCTTTGGTATAGCTTTTGGCTCTTTCAGCGATGCGCTTTTAATGTCATAGATGTTTGTAAAACGACGGCATTCTACAGAATGGTTTTTGGCCAAAAATTCACGAACAATATGTGAGCAGCTGTATTATTGTGGTGCAAGAACCATGACAAATCCTTGCGTTT